TCTTACACCAAGGACAAGATATCAATGGCCTGTAGATCTCGAATAAGAAAAGGAATCACTCTTGAAAATCGCTTGTCTTGAAAGTCTCACCTGCTTTGTGACCGGCTATTACCATCTAGTTGTAGTTCACAATGAGATTAGTTATCATAGTGAGGCTTTCATTTCACTCCTAACGTTACCTAATTTTAGCTTCACTGATAATTTTAAAACCTAATCAAGAACAAAATTTTCTTTTATACAAACTCAACAAAAGAGATGCAGCATTGTCCAAATTGTATTATATAATCTCACCACAATAATGAATATAAAACCAGTCATCCTGAAAAAGATATCTTTTTAAGATAGACTATGATTTTGGTCTTAGTGAAATTTGACTTTTTTTATCAAAGACTTTGTGCAAAATACTAAAATGGTATGAGTACAATCAACATTTATGTCGTAAAGCCGCTCACACTCCTGCGTAGTCAGTGTTGAGCCAAGGGATATCAAGTGACAATTTATAAGTAAACTTGTATAATATGAACGCTTAAAATTCGCACCTATTTGGGAAAACCAAAGAATATTTGTACAAAACGCATACTCGCAACACATATGTGCAGTTTACAAAATACGTATAATTTTCCGATCTCATGAAGTCCTCTTCTAAGAAAAAAAAACATTGAGACATTTTAAGATCAGGCTGTAAGTTTGCTCAAAATTCCGAGAACAATCTACATCGGTTGTGATTATAGGCTTACTTATGCATTAAGATATTGGCGACAAACTTAGCTATTGCGTTAACGAAAATACAGCAACAAAACAAACATTCCAGCCAACAATTTAAGTATAGTTGAAAGATGGCTAGAAGTGAGAAAGATGCATTGGTAACAGAGGCAACATAAAAAGCATATTTAAGATGATTGTAAGAAAGAAGTAGGAAGCAGGAAAGAGGTTAGCAGTAATTGGGCTGAAATGAGAAAAAAGCTAAAATGTATATCAAAACGCAAATGATCGCCACAGATGGTTAATGGTGTGGACGCGAGTGCAAATAAATACAACTGAGTGAAGCACCACCAACTGTCAAGTAGAAATTTTCCTTCCTCTGCCCCAATCATTGTAGTAATATCGAAAGAAAAACGTCTAATCTTTCAAGTGGCGGCTTGATTGCTTCGACTTGATGGCATCAAGCCACTCAACTTTTCTTCGAGTTGACGATTTTTCTGTAATGCCTGCAGTAGTTGTTGTTGAAGTTGATCAACCGGATAGGTCACATTTGACTCCGCGTCGAAGCGATCCGGTTCCATCTGAACAAAAAAATCGGTAAAGTTTATCATTGGATTTGTAGATAACCACACTCTTGAAGGCTGAGGAAATTGGCAATAGTTCCTGAGTAAGAATTTAGGCACTTAAAAGTTAGTTTGCGGCAAAGGGTGGAATTTTCCGCACAATTTGTTGAGTAGGCCTCCTAATGTAACAGAATATTACTTGTCATTGCCTTCTAAAAAGTTTTTTTCGTCTCGACTCGACTCAACTTAAGTTTCCACCTTGCTTGGCCTCATCAGTGCCTCCAATGCAACTTGAAACCATGTGATGCACATAAAATGGTAACATGGTACCAATCCGTTGCACAGACTAGGGGGCAGTGTGTCAGTATACAAATGTGATTTTGTTCTGACCTACTAACATCCGCGGGTATGAAGTGGATGGGCAGCATTTCCCCATTTTACATGCAAGATCCGGTCTCGAATCCCTTTACGGGCGTTAATGAGACTCTAATGAGGTGGAAACTTCAGTAGAGTCCGAATTGTAGGAGAAAAACTCTAAAAATAATTAAGGCATTTCATGGCCTAATTATAGCACTAGGAAAATTTTCAACTAACACTCCATAAATCACCTAAAACGACTTTGATTGACTAAGTTTTACTGAAAATGAATGAGTCAAACAATTAATTGTAAAAGTTAATCAGTTTTTTCGGCCTCCTATTACGATTATGAGGCTCGCGGGCAAAACAAGAATTTGGAGAATGCATACAAAGTGTATTTTAGGACAACACTCTTGGTATGAGATGACCATAATCCCACGGTAGCAGTCTTCAGAAACGATATTCTAAGAACATATTTATAAACAGTTAAGTATCTACTTCCTGGAGCTTTGCATTACAAACTCCATAGAGCCAAAACTCTGTGACTTTCTTTCTTGATGCGCTGAGGCATGAACTAACTTTTAGTATTCGGAGATATGAAGACAAGGATGGTATGACTTTTTGTGTGA